ATCTTTCGGGCTCCTTGGGTCGTCGTGAGCCGTCGGAAGGCTCGAACAGAACAAAAGCCGAAATCCTTCAAAAATCTAAGGACAGCATGGATTTTGACCTTTTCGGGCTCTCGTGGAGGACCTCTTGGAGGCATCTTGGGCCGTCTTAGAGGCCTCTTGGAGGCCTCTGGGGTCGTCTTGGGCCGCCTGAGAGGTTTCTTGTGCGACCTCGGAGGCATGTAGGATTCTCCTGGGCCATCTTGGAGGCCATCTTGGACCATCTCGGGGGAGGCCATCTTGGCCATCTTGGAAGCCATCTTGGAGCCATCTGGAGCAGGACAAACTTTTGGAACCACCCTTTCCGGGCCATTCGGGGACCCCGGCGGGCGGGGCCGAAACTCTAGGGGGAGTGTTTTTGGAAACAGAACCAAAACCGAAAGGATTCAGCGCGCCGGGCACCCTTGTGATGAATCAACAGGGGGTGGCGGATTATCGAAGACGCCCACGGCGAGTCACCGCCGCCCCCTGCCCTTTCGGAAGCGCATATGTGGCCGAACGTTGAGGCCAGAGCCCTGCCAAGCTATCGGACCATGTGTTCCCTGAATCGGTTTGGAAAGCCTTCGGGGAACACGTGGGGGAGGACGGGGAAGAGGAGGAGAGTGAGGAATGGGCGTGTTCGGGGCCCCTTTGGGGCTCTTGTGAGCTTTAGTGGCGTCTTGCGGCCTGCTGGCCGAAGGTTGGGTCAGATCCTTGCCAAGCTTTCGGAACCAGTGTTCCCCGAATCGGTTTGGAAAGCTTTCGGGGAACACGTGGAGGAGGTTGGGGAAGAGGAGGAGAATGAGGAAAAAGGGGAAGGGAGGAAGAGTCCTATTGAGAGCCTCTTGAGGCACTCTGGGGCTGAATTGCCAAAACCTTTTAAACACTCAAAGAAAATGAATGATTTTGGCCCTTCGGGCCTTCCTGGAGGACGTCTTGGAGGACTCCTGGGCCGTCTTGGAGTCCTCTTGCTAGCCGTTTGGGCCGTCTTAGGCCATCTTGAGGCCATTTTGGGCAGCCTTAGGTGCATCTTGGGACCACCTTCGCCGTTTTGGAGGCCATGTTGGCCGTCTTGGAGGCATCTTGAAGGTCGTCTTGGCCGTCTGAAGGCCATTTTGACCCTTTCGGGCCTTCCTGGAGGACGTCTTGGATGTCTCTTGGGCCGTCGTGGAAGCCTCTTGCGGGCCGTTTGGGCAGTCTAAGGCCATCTTGAGGCCATCTTGGGCCGTCTTGAGCGCATTTGGGGGCCATCTACGCTGTCTGGGAGGCCTTCTTGGCCGTCTTGGAGGCATCTTGGAGGCCATCTTGGCCGTCTTGGAGGCCATCAACGGCGTCTACGGGGCCATCTTGGGCCGTCTTGGGGTCCTGTTGGGGCCATCTTAGGGGCCTCTTGGGCTGCCATGGCGCCAACTTGGAGGCCTCTTGGCCGCTCTTGGGACGATGGTGGGGCCTCTTGGGCCGTCGGAGAGCTGATAAGAAGAAAATGCCAAAATCCTTCAACAACCAAAGGAACATCAATGATTTTTGCCCTTTCGAGCCTTCCTGGAGGACGTCTTGGAGGCCTCTTGGGGGCCTCTTGGCCAGTCTGAGGCCATCTTGGAGCCATTTTTGGCCGTCTTGGAGGCTTCTTGGAAGAGCTTGAAGGCATCTTGGACTCTCTCGGGCCGTCTTGGAAGCCATCTTGGACCACCCTTGGTGATTTGGAGGCCATCTTGTAGGCCATCTTGGGCCAACGTGACCATCTTAGAGGCCATCTTGAGCCGTCTTGGAGATTCGTTTTTCGGTCGTTGAGGTGGTTTCGGAGCCTTTCCGGGACCCTTGCGGGATCGGCCGAAGCCCCAGGGGGAGTTCTCTCGGAAAAAGAACCAAAACCAGAAGCGAATGGGTTCAGCACGCCGGGCACCCCTGTGGCAAGCCAACAGGGGGCGGCGGATCGAATGGCCTTTGGCCCATCCCGCCACCGTGCTTGGGTTTTGGGTATGAAGCCTATTGGATGTCTGTTGGGATCTCGTGGGAGGCCTCTCGGGGGTCTCTTGGAGGCTCTTGGGGGCCATTTTGGAGTCTCTTGGTGCTTCTTTTGGGCCTCTTGGGGGCCTCCTGGAGCCTCTTGGGAGGCTCGTGAGCGTCTCTTGGTGCTTCTTGGGCGCCTCGAAGGGCTCCTGGGGGCCTCTTGGGGCGGAAGGCTGAATTTTTCGGCTCGGGTTCCCCCTGTTAGGCCCCTTTGGGGGCCGTCTTGGGGCCCTCTTGGGCCGTCTTGGGCGCCTCTTGAGCCGTCTTGAGGACATCTTGGGTCGTCTTGGGGCGCTCTTTGGGGCCTCTTGGGTCGTCTGGAGGCGATCTTGGAGGCCTCCTTGGCCGGGGACGACGAAAAGGCGGGAACGCCAACTTGTTTCAAACACCTAGGGAGCATCAATGGGTTGAGCCTCTTGTGGCCCTCTTGGGAGTGCTTTAGAAGGCCTCTGAGGATGTCTTGGACGCCTCTCGGGCCGTCTTCGGGCAGTCTTGTCTTGGACGCCTCTCGGGCCGTCTTCGGGCAGTCTTGGGCATCATGCGCCGATAGTTCGGCGACTCGGGGCCCTCTTGGGCCGTCTTCGGGGCCTCCTGGAGCCCTCTTGGCCCGTCCTGCGGCCCTCGGGGGCCCGAAGAACTCGCGCGGGAAGCCGCGAGAAGCCCCGCGGGGCACGCGACCCGCCCCGAGAGATTTGGCAGTTTGGGCGCTGGGCTCCTCGGGGGCTCCCAGGAGCTGAGGATTGTGGCTTGCAGGGGATTGCGCAGGGAAAGGGCCTGGGGGCACGCCCACTCCGTGCCCAGCGGCACGGTGGCATGTCAGGGACTCGGGGTGTATTCCAACCTGGTGCCAGGCACGGTGCTGTGCTGCGGCTTCTTGGCTGGTGTTGCGTATCCCCGTGTTTATATGCATGATATGTCGGGTCATGGCGACATGCACTTACAACGCCGTAACACGTCCATCCGTTCTACTCTCGCTCCTCTGGCTCCTCCCCTCCGCAACCACGCTGCCCACCCGTTGGTGTTCGCAGCCGGCCGGCGCCGTTACGACAGGCACCGCGCCCAGCCGTTTTTCATGACAAGTTTGTAGCTTTATTCACGGTTCTCAGGCGCGTGGTGGCGATCATCAGCTGCTAAGCTCTACCCTTGATGTGGGAAAGAAGAGAAACAGTGCCAGGTTTTTCAGACGTTGCCATGTGAAGAGTGGAGCAGCATGCCATTTATTTCCGCCCGCCTGCTGTGCCACTTGGCTTTCCAGAACACTAGCGTGTGTGTTCTGCCCGGCCCCTCCCACTGTGCTGCCACGCAGCGACATGAGTAGTTATGTAGCATGGCACTTTTCGGCCGCCCTGCGTTGCCATGTCGCGAAGATGCACACGTAAGCTTCGCCTCCAAGGCGTTGCCACATAGCATTGAAGCAGAATACGATGTGATTCCACACCCTACGGTGCCACAAGGCAGGTCCAGTAGAGTAGTATTCGTTCGGCCACCCTGCATTGCCACGGGACGAGTAGGAGTATAATCGTATTTATCTGCCTCCTCTGCGTTGCCATGTCGCGCGTGCAAACGTACGTTTCGCCACCAAGAAGTTGCCAGGTTGAGAGTGGAGCAGGACACAGTTTGATTCCGCCCTCTGCGCTGCCACCTGTCGAGCCAAGTCGTTAGAACAGCATTAGTTCTGCCCTTCTCCGTTACCACGCGGTGAGCCGAGTGGAACTGTATCTTTCCGCCCCTTGCCTGAGGGGGGTGGAGTGAGTGGGAGGTGCGGGGTGCGTGGTGTGCGCGGTGTCTCTGGGCGCGTGGTGTTGCGTGCAGTGCTGGGGTTTGTTTGCCTCTGGGTTTCCGTGGGGGCACGGGAGCCTGTTGGTTTCAGAAAGTCCACAGCGATTGTCTGTTTTGCAAAGATTCGTTGACAAGTTCGAGAAAGTTCGCTGCTGCTGCTGCTGCTGCTGCTGCTGCTGCTGCTTCTGGTGCTGCTGTTGGTGTTGACGCGATGGTGCTGCTGTGGTGGCGGTGCTGCTGGGGTTTTTGCTGATGTTGCTGCTGGTGATGGTGGTGCTGCTGGTGCTGTTTTTTTCTGCTGGTGTTGCTGTTGCTGGTGTTGCTGTTGGCGTAGCCACGCAGGTGTTGCTGCGCTGACGTTGCTGCTGGCGATGCTGTGCTGTGCTGCTGCTGGTGGTGTGTTGCTGCTGGTGCTGCTGGTGGTCTTGCGGGTGCTGTCGTTGCCGTGCTGCTGCTGCTGCTGCTGCTGCTGCTGCTGCTGCTGCTGCTGCTGATTGTGACGGCGGCGTTGCCGCTGCTGGTGTTGCTGCTGCTGCTGCTGCTGGTGCTGCTGCTGCTGCTGCTGCTGCTGCTGCTTGCGCTGATCTTTCTGCTTCTGCTAGAGCTTCCTGGCGTTGCCTGGGGTTGGTTTCTTGGTTCGGCCTGGTGGGGTGTTCCTGACTCCTCCTCGGAAGGTTTTCCTGGCTCCGCCCTGGGCGGAATTCCTGGTCTCGCTGTCCAGTGCGATCCTGGTTTCGCTCTGGGTACAATTCCTGGTTTGAGGCCTGAGGTCCAAATTCCAGACGCCCGGCTGCTCCAATTCTTTCGATGCGTGGGCCCCACAGGTCCAGACGGGTCGCCTTCTGACGCCCCCGAGGCCCGGCGAGGGCTCCCGGAGGCCGAAGACGGCCCCGAGCCGCCCGCTCCTTCTGGGGCGTCGGATCTCTGCCCAGGCATGCGACGTCCTGATTTTTTCAGGACGGGGTCCCCGGAAGTCCCGACCCTTTCCCTGGGACCAGTTCCTCATCCTGAGCCGTTTTTTGGACGGTCCCGAGGCGCGGCGAGGGCCCCCAGGGGCCGAAAATAGCGAAAAATTGGCCGTCCTGATTTTTTGCCCACGCGATCAGGTCTGGGTGGGGAGCTCCAAATGCTTGGTCCTGCTTCGTTCTGGCCTCCCGGCTTCCCCCTCCATGGGCTCGCCCCTCGGCCTGGCCCAGGCCGCGCCCGCGCCGCCGCCCGCGCCGGTGCCCGCGCCGGTGGCGCCCGCCGCAGGAGCTCGAGCAGGGGACCCCGACACGATCGCGTCGTAAAAAAAAAAAAAAAAATCAGGACGGCCAGTTTTTCGCTATGTTCGGCCCCTGGGGGCCCTCGCCGGGTCAAAACATCGAACCGGTCCCGGGGAAAGGGTCGGGACTGCCAGGGACCCCGTCGTAGGAGAATCAGGACGGCCAGTTTTTCAATATTTTCGGCCCCTGGGGGCCCTCGCCGCGCCTCGGGACCGTCTAAATTATCCTGGCGAGGGACCCAACCATGTGCAGTTGTGAGTGACGCAGTTGTGGGTCACGACGCGTGTGACGGGGTGTGCCAAAATTGGCACGGGTACGCCATGCGGACGCTGCCACCAGAGCCGTCGGTGGAGCACCCTATGGGGCCGCGGAACGTGCAAGGGGTGCGCCGAAATGGGGGTGGAACTGCATGCGGACCCTGCCACTGGGGCCTTCGGCGGAGCACCCTACTGTATGGGGGCCACGAAACGTGTGAGGGGTGCGCCGAAATGGGGGTGGAACTGCATGCGGACCCTGCCACTGGGGCTTTCGGCGGAGCACCCTGTGGGGCCACGACACGTGTGAGAGGTGCGCCGAAATGGAAGTGGAACTACATGCGGACCCTGCCACTGGGGCCTTGGGTGGAGCGCCCTATGGGGCCGCGGAACGTGTGAGGGGTGCGCCGAAATGGAGGTGGAACTGCATGCGGACCCTGCCACTGGGGCCTTCGGTGCAGCTCCCTATGGGGGCCACGAAACGTGTGAGGGGTGCGCCGAAATGGGGGTGGAACTGCATGCGGACCCTGCCACGGGGGCCTTCGGTGGAGCTCCCTATAGGGGCCACGAAACGTGTGAGGGGTGCGCCGAAATGGGGGTGGAACTGCATGCGGACCCTGCCACTGGGGCCTTCGGCGGAGCACCCTATGGGGCCACGAAACGTGTGAGGGGTGCGCCGAAATGGGGTGGAACTGCATGCGGACCCTGCCACTAGGGCTTTCGGCGGAGCACCCTGTGGGGCCACGACACGTGTGAGAGGTGCGCCGAAATGGAAGTGGAACTACATGCGGACCCTGCCACTGGGGCCTTGGGTGGAGCGCCCTATGGGGCCGCGGAACGTGTGAGGGGTGCGCCGAAATGGAGGTGGAACTGCATGCGGACCCTGCCACTGGGGCCTTCGGTGGAGCTCCCTACGGGGGCCCACGAAACGTGTGAGGGGTGCGCCGAAATGGGGGTGGAACTGCATGCGGACCCTGCCACTGCGGGCCTTCGGCGGAGCACCCTATGGGGCCACGAAACGTGTGAGGGGTGCGCCGAAATGAGGGTGGAACTGCATGCGGACCCTGCCACTGCGGCCTTCGGCGGAACACCCTATAGGGGCCACGAAACGTGTGAGGGGTACGCCGAAATGGGGGTGGAACTGCATGCGGACCCTGCCACTGGGGCCTTGGGCGGAGCACCCTATGGGGCCACGAAATGTGGAAGGGGTGCGCCGAAATGGAAGTGGAACTGCATGCGGACCCTGCCACTGGGGCCTTCCGCGGAGCACCCTATGGGGCCACGAAACGTGTGAGGGGTGCGCCGAAATGGGGGTGGAAACTGCAATGCGGGACCCATGCACTGGGGCTTCGGTGGAGACTCCCTATGGGGCCACGAAAACGTGTGAGGGGTGCGCCGAAATGGAGGTGGAACTGCATGCGGACCCTGCCACTGGGGCTTCGGTGGAGCTCCCTATGGGGCCACGAAACGTGTGAGAGGTGCGCCGAAATGGAGGTGGAACTGCATGCGGACCCTGCCACTGGGGCCTTCGGCGGAACACCCTATGGGGGCCACGAAACGTGTGAGGGGTGCGCCGAAATGGAGGTGGAACTGCATGCGGACCCTGCCACTGGGGCCTTCGGCGGAGCACCCTATGGGGCCACGAAGCGCTGTACTCGGTGGGTGAAACGCAGGAAGGAGGGAGATCAGCAGGAGGGAGGGAGGAAGGAGGAGGCGGGAACGCAGGGCACCGTCTCTTCAAAACGAGGACCCAACACCACAGGATGGTTGGGAAAAAACAATTCTGGATGAGGACCCAGTCCCGGGGAAAGGGTCGTGACTTCCGGGGGCCCCGTCCTGAATTATCCTGGCGAGGGACCCATGTGCAGTTGTGAGTGACGTAGTTGTGGGCATCGACCTCGGTGAAGCTCTCTAGGGTCACGACGCGTGTGACGGGGTGTGCCAAAATTGGCACGGGTACGCCATGCGGACGCTGCCACCAGAGCCGTCGGTGGAGCACCCTATGGGGCCGCGGAACGTGCAAGGGGTGCGCCGAAATGGGGGTGGAACTGCATGCGGACCCTGCCACTGGGGCCTTCGGCGGAGCACCCTATGGGGGCCACGAAACGTGTGAGGGGTGCGCCGAAATGGGGGTGGAACTGCATGCGGACCCTGCCGCTAGGGCTTTCGGCGGAGCACCCTGTGGGGCCACGAAACGTGTGAGAGGTGCGCCGAAATGGAGGTGGAACTACATGCGGACCCTGCCACTGGGGCCTTGGGTGGAGCACCCTATGGGGCCGCGAAACGTGTGAGGGGTGTGCCGAAATGGGTGTGGAACTGCATGCGGACCCTGCCACTGGGGCCTTCGGTGGAGCATCATATTGGGCCACGAAACGTGTGAGAGGTGGTTCGCCGAAATGGAGGTGGAAGGGGGAACTGTCATGCGGACACTGCCACTGGGGCCTTCGTGAGCAACCATAATAGGGGCCACGAAAGGTGCAGGGTGTGCGCCGAAATGGGGTGGATACTGCATGCGGAACCCTGCCACGCGGCCTCGGCGGAGCACCTACATGGGGCCACGAAACGTGTGAGGGGTGCCCGAAATGGTGCGGGAACTGCATGGCGGACCCTGCCACTGGGGCCTCGGTGGAGCTCCCTCTTATGGGGGCCCACGAAACGTGTGAGGGGTGCGCCGATACTTTCTTTATATGGGGTGGAACTGCATGCGGACCCTGCCACTGGGGCCTTCGGTGGAGCTCCCTATGGGGCCACGAAACGTGTGAGAGGTGCGCCGAAATGGAGGTGGAACTGCATGCGGACCCTGCCACTGGGGCCTTCGGCGGAGCACCCTATGGGGGCCACGAAACGTGTGAGGGGTGCGCCGAAATGGAGGTGGAACTGCATGCGGACCCTGCCACTGGGGCCTTCGGTGGAGCACCCTATGGGGCCACGAAGCGCTGTACTCGGTGGGTGAAACGCAGGGAGGAGGGAGAGGAGCAGGAGGGAGGGAGGAAGGAGGAGGCGGGAACGCGGGGCACCGTCTCTTCAAAACGAGGACCCAACACCACAGGATGGTTGGGAAAAATCAGGACGAACGCCACCGGGTTTGGGAGTATCGGTTCTGGCTCTCCTTCTGAGTGGCTGCCCGCTCGCTCGCTTCGCTTGCCTTTCTTTTCCTGCTGCCTAGTCGCGGCCCGACTAGTGTTCGGACGGCTTTCGACCCGCCTCGCGAGCCTGTTGACGAAAAAGTATCCTTACCAGCCCATCTTGGAGGCGGTCGGTCAAAAGAGAGGGGGTATTCGATTTAGGCCCCCCCTCGGGGGCCACGATCCTCGTGAGGGGTAGCAGAAAATGGCCCTCCCAATGGCCGAAAAACCAGCCTCCGACACATCGCGGAACCTCCCCCAAAAACCTCAGGGAGGGGAGGGGGAGGGTTCCCCTCCCCGAAGGGAATAGGGGGTGTGGAAGAGGAAAGAGACCCTCGTTAGACCTCCCGTCGCCCAGAGGGCTGGTGGGACTGACTTGCCCCGATTTTGAAATCTCCGTTGCACCTGCGGGAAAAAACGCGTCGAAGGGAGGCAGATTTGCGAGCGCGCGACACATTTTTCCGCTGATTCGGCGAGCAAGCCAATTTTGGGGTACAGTGTCGTTCTTCATACATGCTCCGCGTGCGGATCAGATATTAAACATGCAGGGTTAGTAGTAGAAGCAACGATGAGTTCATGCATAATACTATTCATAACTTAACCATGTATGAAACAACGTATATTTTGAAACATCATGTTCTTAAAACTGCCCTGTACGTCGATTCTCTATATATAGTCGATCTCTCCTGCTCGAGGAGTGGAGGGCCCGTGCCCGTGCTGCCTTGAGCCGCTGAAGCCCTCGCCCGGTGCCAGGCTCGGCGGCGCGCGCGACCCAGACACCCGGCGGCCCACGAGGTCTCGACCCACGGCCGTGTTTGAGACTTCGGGGGGTCTGGGGGTCGTCATTCCCAGACCCCCTCGAGTAGCGAAAAAATCACGACGGGAGGATTTTCGCGATTTTCAGCCTCTGGGGGTCCTTGCCGGGCCTCGGGACCGTCAAAAAACGACGCAGGATGAAAAGCCGGTCCCGGGGAAGGGGTCGAAACCTCTCGGGGTCGACGTCAGAAGCAATAGCCGCTAGAAAACAGATCGTCTCGTCATGAAAAAATCATGACGTCGGGGGTCGTCATTCTCGGTATCGTTTTCGGGGAACAACAAGTGGCATAAACATAAAAAATCAGAGGTCCGCGCGGATTTCTCGGATCCGCGCTGGGCCCCCCTGGCGGCGCCTCTGGCGCCGCCCCTGGCGCGCTCCGCGCGCCAGGGAGGGGGGTCCAGCGCCGATCCGAGAAATCCGCGCGGACCTCCGAGTTTTTATATTTATGTCATGTTCCCCTAATCGTTTAACCAATCCCCATCCCCATCCCCATCCCCATCCCCTTCGAGACCCACCAAATTACCACCCCAGTTAAGGACCGACCTATATCCCCATCTAGGGGGGGAATCGGCCAATGGGGCCCCGGCCACGCCGCTGGGGATGGGGATCGGTTACACGATCATCATGTTCCCCAATCGGTGCTTGCACTGAAGGAGTCCAAGCGGAAATGGAAAGATTTGGCGAAAGTTGCCCGCCGATTTTGGTAGCCGGCTGGGTTCCCGGGTTCCCGGGGTCCTGATTATATTGGTTTCGGGCCGATTTTGGTGGATTCCAGGTTCCCGGGTTCCCAGACGGTCTCCTTATCGATCAAACCATCCACTGGTTTGGGTTCTTTGGTCTATAATTGAGATTTCTGGGGGTCTAGGGGTCGTTATGAAGAATCATGGCGTCGGGGGTCTGGCGAGATCCGACGTTCCAAGAGGTCTCGATCCATTTCCCAGGACCAGTTTTTCTTCTAGAGTCGTTCTTTGACGGTCCCGAGGCCTAGTGAGGGGCCCTCAGAGGCCGAAGATAGCGCGACACTTCCCGTCGTGGTCTTTTCGCAACGCGAGGGGGTCTGGCGGGTGCGCTCGCGTCGAGGGGTGCAGCGCGGTCCTCGCTCGGGCGTGGCCAAGCGGTGGCCCAAAGGCTCCTCCACAGCCCCTGCCCCCTGCCTTGGCCCCCTCTCCTCCCAGAGATCCGACGCTCCGACAAAAATTGGAGCTGGCAGTTTTGGGCCGTGTTCGGCCTCCCGGGGCCCTCGCCGTGCCTCGAAGCGTCAAAGAACGACCCGGGTCGAAAAGCCAGGTCCAGACCTCTGCAGGGCACATTGAGAGCGAGGGGGGGAAGTGAGAAGGAGAAGGCCTTCTCAGAAGGTGTCCAGGCTTCTCGGAAGCCCTCGGGCCTTCTGAGGAGTCTTCTGTGCCTTCGTGGGAGGTTTCAAACACTTTTCAGAAGGCTGGGGGATCTCCGAGCTTTCTGAGGAGGCCAGCCCCCTCTCACCTACCCCACGGGCTCGCCGCCGACAGGCGGCGGCACGCCAAGCAGTGCGGCGCTGGCGTGAGGCTGTGCAGCGGCTGCGACGGGCTCTTCGAGCCCGGCGCCCTGGGGGCCCACCAGGCCAGCTGCAAGCACTTTCGCTTCGACAGGGCGCAGTGCGCCGGCTGTGGCAACTGGGTCCACGCCTCGGCCGCGCCATCGGCCCCCGTCGTCGTGTCCTTCGTCGTCGGGGTAGTGGTGGTGCCGGTCGTCGTCGTCGTCGTCGTCGTCGTCGTCGTCGTCGTCGTCGTCGTCGTCGTCGTCGTCGTCGTCGTCGTCGTCGTCGTCGTCGTCGTCGTCGTCGTCGTCGTCGTCGTCGTCGTCTTCGTCGTGGTTGTCGTGGTGGGCATCGTCGTTGTGTTGGTGGTGGCCGTTGTCACGGTCGTCGTCGTGTCTGCGGGCGTCGTCGTCGACCTCGTGGGCGTCGTCAACTGCAGCAGAGGGGGGAGGCGGGAGGACTTTGGGGGAGGGGTGGCGATGGGGCAGACAGACGTAGGGTGGGGGGGAGAAGGGTGGTGGTGAGGAGGAGGAGGAGGAGGAGGAGGAGGAGGAGGAGGAGGAGGAGGAGGAGGAGGGAGGAGGGGAAGGGGGAGGGGGAGGAGGAGGAGGAGGGAGGAGGAGGAGGAGGAGGAGGGAGATGAGTAGGATGGAGGAGGAGGATTTGGAGGAGGATGGAGGGGGAGAGGAGCAGCAGGGAGTGCAGGAGGAGAAGCAGCAAGGGGTTAAAGGAGGGGGGGGGAAGGGGGAAGGAGCAGCTGGCAGGGGAGCAGGAGGAGCAGGGGGAGGGCAGGAGGATGATGAGTCAATGCGGATACCCGTTTCCCCCCTCGCCCCCCTTTACGTCTCTCCTGCCTCCTCTCCACTCGCTGCCTCCTGCGACTACGCAACGTGAGTGATGCTCTCCTCTCCGCCCTGATCACGGTGTTACGGATCCCGACGCTCCCGCATGATGTACTGTTGTGGGTGGGGGGGCTCCCCAGAGACCCGACGCTCCGACAAAATTGGAGCAGCAGGTTTTTGGCCGTTTTCGGCCTCCGGGGGGTTGGACCTGCGGGGCCCACGCATCGAAAAATTTGGAGCAGCCAGATGTCTGGGTCCTGGATGACACGGGCGGGGCTAGAACGAGGATGAATCCATTCCAGAGCGTCCCCGAATGCTCTCAGAGCGTTCCGGAACGCTCTGAGAAGGTCGCGACGCCCGAGTCATCTTCCAGCGCCGCGGGAGCTCAGATTCTCAATATATCCTCACCCGAGTTTATCCTCACCCTGGCTTCTTCTTACAGGGGCTCCCAGGAAAAAGGCTTCACTTCGAGGGATCGGGAGGTCGACTTCCTTTCGTCTGCGGCATGGGTGACAGCGGCGGCTCCTCCTGCGCGGAAGCCTGGCGGAAGCCAACGACAGTAGAACGCTGGTATCCTTAGGTGCAGTGCTGTTTGATTAAAGCTTTCTGGAACGATCCACCTGGACTGTTCCAAATAGGGCCTTGCCTTCGAGGATCGAAGGCGTTGCCATCTCTTCCTCGGCGGAAGGCGGTGGAAGGCCATCGGAAGCCGGCGGAAGTAAAAGGCGGCCGCCTCCGCCGACGGACGGCCAGCGAAAGGCGGCGGAAGTAAGAGATGCGCCCACCAAGAGAGGACCACATTTTTGGGTTCAGGGTTTCCCGAATCGGCCACGTATATCCCTCTTGACCTGCCTCCTGTGATTCGTCATCTTCCTTCTCTCTCCTCTCCCTACCCAGCGCGTGCGCTGGCTTGGGGGCGCTTCGCTGCGCCGATGTGCACTTCCAAGCGACACGCCCACTAGTCTCACCTGGCTGTGTGGTCTGATTGCTGGGCGAAGGCCTGCGGAGCTGAGCGCTGGCACTGAGGAAGGAGAAGACATGAACACATGCTTCCCTAAAGTTGTTATGTATAAAAGGTGCTATATCATTTCCCCCAGCCAGGTTGTATCTCAGAGTCCTACACAGTTTGTCCGTAGACAGCTTGCCTGCGAGGGTTGGACCTGGAATTCTATACGCTTGCTGCCTAGTCGCGGCCCGGCTAGTGTCTGGACGGCTTTCGACCTGCTTCGCGAGCCCGCAAGCAAAAAAAAACAACCCCACCAGCCCATCCAGAAACGATGCCCAGAGGAAGTGCCTCGATCAGGGAAGTGGGCAGCACACAGAGGAAGGGTCTCCCAGTGAAGGTCTCTTGGAGCGTCTTGGGGACCTCTTGGCGGTCCCGGACGCCTCTTAGAGCGTCTTGGGTGCCTCGGAGAACTTCTTGGGGCCCCCTGGGGCCTCCTGGGCGCCTCTTGGGGCCCTCTTGAAGCGCTCTTGGGAGCCTTGGGAGCGCTCTTAGAGCCTTCTTGGGCCATCTTGGAGTCATCTTGACGCCTCGGATGGCTATCGGAAGCGAAAAGGCGAGACAGCCCAAAACATTGTTTTTTTCAAAGGTTTTGGAAGGTTTTGGGCCTCTTGGAGCCGTCTTGAAGCGGTCTTGGGGCTTATTGGAGCATCATGGGGCCATCTTGAGGCATCTTGGGATATCTTGAGCCATCTTGGAGGTCATCTTGGGCTCTCCCAGGCGCTCTTGGAGTCATATGAAGCAGTCCCCCCCCCAGGAGGCCCAAATGTGGCCAAAATCTTAGTAAAATCAATGATGTTGGCATTCTCGCCGAGGCCTCTTGGAGCGTCTTGGGTGCCTCTGGGGGGTCTCTTGGGGCCTCGTGGGGGTCTCTGGGGAGCCTCTTGGGGGCCTCCTGGCCACCTCTTGGGGCCCTCTTAGGGCACCCTTGGGAGTCTTGGGAGCGCTCTTGGGGCCATCTCGGAGGAGATCGATCAAAGAAGGGGGGGTCCCCAGTGACGGTCCCCCCTCTAGGAGGCCAAACTGGGGCCAAAACTTTCGTAAAACAAATGATTTTGGCTTCCTCGCCGAGGCCGTTTTGGATGCTCCAACGCGTCGCGAACCCCCCGTGCGGGTCCAAGGGAGGGGTAGGGGGAGGGGTCAAGATGCCCTCCCCGCCCGCAAGCCGTCCCGCTCACTCCCACCCGCCCTCCCAACACATACGTAGCGTCTTTGGATGGCCAGCTACTGGGGGCCAGCCGCCGCCGCCGCCGCCGCCCGCCGGCGCCGCTGGCGCCGCGTCGCCGCCGCCGCCGCAGCTGCCCGCAGCTGCCGCCGTTGCCGCGCTGCCCGCCGCCGCCGCCGCCCCCCGCTGCCAATTCGCCGGCCGCAGTCACTGCCGCCGCAGCCCGCTGCCGCGCGCGCCACCGCTGCCACGCTGCCTGCCGCACAGCCGCCGCCGCCGCCGCCCCCCCCCCGCCGCCCCCGCCGCCCCCGCCGCCGCCCCGCCGCAGCCGCCGCAGCCGCTGCCCCCGCCGCCGCAGCGCCGCAGCCCGCCGCCACCCCAAGTGTACTCTCATTTGTTTTTGATAGGGATGGTGGGGGGAGGCCGCATCGGGTTCGCTGCGCATGCTCCGAATTTGCAGGCAGAGTGTGTTTTGTGTTGTGTTTTACAAAAGGATGGGGGGGACACGGTGTGTTAGGTATTGTTTTTACAAGGGATGCTGTGGGGGCCTTCACGGACCTGGGTTGGCTCCCAGTCCCGCCTGGGGGAGGGGGTGTTTATTAATACGGAACAGTGATCAAGCTACCCCCTCCCCGCCCGCAAGCCGTTTCGCTCACTCCCACCCGCCCTCCCAACACATACGTAGCACCCGAGCCTGGCCCGAACTTCAGCATATTCAGCAGCTACTGGGGACCAATCCGCTGCCGCCGCCGCCTCCGCCGCCGCCGCTGCCCCCGCTGCCGAATCGCCGCCGCCGCAGCCGCTGCCGCCGCCGCGCCGCCGCCGCCGCCGCCGCTGCCCCCGCTGCCGAATCGCCGCCGCCGCAGCCGCTGCCGCCGCAGCCGCTGCCTCCACCGCTGCCGGCGCCGCTGCCGCCACCGCTGCCGCCGCCGCCGCCGCCACCGCCGCCGCCACCGTCGCAGCCGTCGCAGCCGCTACCCCCGCCGCAGCCGCCGCAGCCGCCGCAGCCGCCGCCAAGTGTACTCTGCATTGTTTTTTGTCAGGGATGGTGGGGGGAGGCCGCATCGGGTTCGCCGCGCATGCTCCGAATGTGTAGGCAGAGTGTGTTTTGCATTGTTTTTTGCAAAGGATGGTGGGGGGGGCCCTCATTGATTCGGGTTGGCTACCAGTCGCCTGGGGGAGGGAGTGTATGGTGGTGGTAGCTCCGCAGAGTCCGCTGTCTTCTGAATGCTAAAGGCTCTGAGCACACGTGATGAGACTGCTACAGGACTCGGAGGATGTGGCAACTGTGTACCACACGCGCTGAGCAGCGACGCAGTGCGTCAAGGCCCAACAGCCAAGTGCTGAACGGGAACGGCCCCGAACACCGGCCAGCGGCGTGCCACCCGTGTCGATGGCAGCCGGTCGTGAAGAGAAGTCCATAGGTGCATCATAGGGTATGCCGGGTGCCGCGACCTCCCGCCATATCCTGATCCGCACAAGAACCGAATAATCTGCACAATATTTCGCAAACGGTTTAAAAGCCGAATGAGCTGCGCCACTCCGTTGCGAGCTTCTTCAGTCTGGAAGATATGGAACAGCCTGCGACGATCGCAAACAAACGCCAGGACGGGCCGACAGAAGACGGGCCGACAAGGAAAGCGAGGAGAGCCAAGGCGAAGCCCGGAGGAGCGAGGGAGCCAGAAGGAAGAGAGGAGGAGGAGGAGGAGGAGGGGAGGAGCGCGACAAGGACAGACAGGGCCGACAGACGGGACGAGCGGGAAGGAGGGGGGGGGCAGCAAGAGGAGGAGAACACAGACAAAGGAAGGGCAAGGCACGCAGAGAGGGGAGAGGAAAGGAGCCGAGGGAAGGTAAGGAGCAAGCCAAGGAAGGAGCACGGGGGACGAACACGGGCCGAGGGCCAAGACGGGGAACGCCAGGGCGCGAACTCAGCTCAGGTCTAAGGAGATAGATGTATATGCGATTCACCATGGCCTCTCCGTCGCCTCGGTCAGGCAAACGTCTCTCCCTGCATATATCCCGGAGACGAGAGATGGGGAGGGCGCGCAGGGAGGCCTTGATGTGACGCTCCTTTGCGGTCACTGCTCGTCCAGCCACTTCTGGAGCTCGTGCTCCAGGTCCCCCTTCGGCGCGATGCCCGGCAGCTGGTCCGCTTCTGGCTCTCTGAGCAGAACCGGCATCACGATGTTCTCGAATATCTGGTCGCTGTTGCTGGCCTGCTTGAAGTTGACCACGAGTTTCTTGTAATCGCGTGTGTGGGTTTTCTCCAGGTAGCAGTACTTCACCTCTGCGGCGACGTTCTGCCAGACCTGGAGGCCGGGGCGCTTCGTCGCTAACTCGGTGCAATACCTCTCCATGGTCGCCAGCTGCTCCTTCGCGGCCTCTCCGGCCGCCTTGAGTTTCTCCAGGGTGGCCTTGCACACTGCGTTCCAAGCATGAGCGTGAGGGAGCCCCACGAGCTTGGTGACCTCCTTGGATTGCTTGCCGCTCTCCCGCAGGGCCTTCGCCTTCTGTTCGAAGCCCGTCGTGGCTTGGCGCATTGACGAACTGAACAACGAATCTGTCCGGATCCAAAAGACCATCAGAAGAATTGCCTTGAGAGCCCTGTGCTGCTGAAGCGAAGACAAGCAAGCCTTCGCCAAAAGCGTGAGAAGCTTTTGGTTGCCGTTGTCCACTGTGACCATGACCCTCTTGGCGGCGCGGCTGTCTTCCGGGGCCGACCTGTCCCCGGCGCCCAGCTCGATGCCCAGGTCCATGGCGGCGCTCACAGTAAAACGGTGCTAGTAATTCCCAATGTCCCTCGAAGGAAACGTGCTGACGGACGTGCATGTGGTAAGAAATAAGGTCATCAAACTGAGAATCGCACAAAGGACAAGATAAATCAGAGACATGGATGGGGGGTGCAGGAAAAAGAGAAGCATCAAGGTAGCAACGACCATGGTAGAAAGAGCTACGAACATGACGAACAGCCGAATCCCGATTCTTGAATGTAGAGACGCACCACGGGCAGACGTTCGTTTCAACCAACGAAGCCAAGTTATGCCTGTCCGGGTGGTCCCCCGCATTCCTTTGATGGGTAATCAGGGCGGCCCTGGAGGAGAACTCCGCCCCGCAGACAACACCATCTACGATCGCATCGCACACATATTCGCGGACTATGGCATGACCGGAAGACGATTGAAGAGGAGGAGAGAAAATCCAACCAGGAGGAGGGATGGAGACAGTCAAGTGTCGGCGCTTAAGAGCAGAAACATCGATAGCACAAAAGGCTTCAGCCAAATCGTGATCGCGAAGAAGAATCAACGGATGGCAATTGATGGACTCAGCAACCCAAGCACCATCATCGATGTCACGCAGACTATTAGGAACAGTGATCAAGACGGCCTCCCCGCCCGCAAGCCGACTCGTTCATTCCCACCCGCCCTCCCAACATATACGTAGCACCCGAGACTGGCCCGATCCTCAGCATATTCAGCAGTCGTCTTTGGATGGGCAGCTACTGGGGGCCCATCCGCCGCCGCCGCCGCCGCCTCCGCCTCCGCCGCCGCCGCCGCCGCCGCCGCGCCGCCGCCGCCGCCGCCGCTGTCCGCCGCCGCCGCCGCCGCGCCGCCCGCCGCCGCAGCCGCCGCCGCCGCCCCCGCTGCCGAATCGCCGCCGCCGAAACCGCTGCCGCCGCAGCCGCTGCCGCAGCCGCCGCAGCCGCCGCCGCCGCCGCCGCCGCCGCCAAGTGAACTCTGCATTGTTTTTGACAGGGATGGTGGGGAGAGGCCGCATCGGGTTCGCCGCGCATGCTCCGAATTTGGAGGCAGAGTGTGTTTCGTATTTTTGTTCAAGGGATGGTGGGGGGGGCCCTCAGTTCCCCCAATGGTTGGCTCCAGGTCGCCGGGGGGAGGGGGTGTATATCCATAGGGAACAGTGATAAACCCCTCCCCGAAGAGAACAGAAGGGAGGGTCAAAGAGGACACACCCTAGACCACCTACGCCCACAGGGGCTGGTGGGATTGGTGGCTCGTGGTCGCCCGTCTGGTCTGCCTACTGGTCTCTCGTGTGGTTGCAAGGCGATGGAAGAAGGATCGCTCCGGGATCAGGAGTGGCTCTGGCTTCCGGGTCGTCTCTTAGATCCAGGTCGGGCGACCTGCTCGTGGCCGAGGTTCGCCGTGGCCAGGAGCGCCCGTTCGTTCCTGGCTCGGCCAGCCCTCTGGCAGCACGATGGCTGCAGCCTTGGGCCTCCTGTCGCCTGCGTGGCGAGGGGCAGGGGGAAACGATCGAGGGGGAGAGCGGGGTCGGAGCAAGGGGAGGCCGGGAGCCCGGAGGAGCCCAGCCATCTTGGTTCCAGGCCCTCCCCTCCCCTCCTCCCGCGGCCCCTCCCGCCCGCCTCCCCCGCGGCCCTAGGCGCGCGCCTTTCCCGGCCGCTGCTCAGCCATGGCCCCGCAGACGAGTGCGGACCTCGCCGCCGCCGCCAGCGACGCGGAGGCCGACCGCATCCCCGAGCAGGTGCAGATGGGCGCCCCGCCTCCGCTGAGCACGGAGGCCGACCGCATCCCCGAGCAGGTGCAGATGGGCGCCCCGCCTCCGCTGAGCACGGAGGTGGGGCCGACCCAAACGGGGTCCAAGTAGGTGGGTCGGATTTTGACAGAACCCCCCACCCTGCCAAGTCGAATATGGACACCTGGTTGATCGCAACCACCCTGCATTCGCGCTGAAGGCCGCCAGAAACCGCCGACGACCGCCAGCGACCGCCGAAGGCCGTCATAAGGCCGCCGAGGACCGCCGAAAGCCGCCCAGGGCCAATAGGCAACAAGGGGTCCATGGTCGAATACGCGCCAGGCAGCTGAACACACGTGATGCGGGCAGCCTGGACGAGAGTCTGGTTGACCCAGAAGGGGGTCCAGCTGAAAGGGGGTGGTGCAATTGGTTTGGGGCAAATGTATCGCAAATGTATTGCGCCAGAGAGTTGTATTGCATTGTATTGCAACCAACGTATTGCACGCGAAAGCCCAGCAATCCCTTTGCGCCCCGGAATGTGTTGCACGCCCCAAGTGTATTGCGACTCCACAACTCTATTACACCAAATCTTTTGCAAACGCCCCCTTGTCGCTGGACCCCTTGTTGGGGTCAACCCGAGAGAGCTGGCTCCACACGTCAACCAGCTGTCTTTCCAGCGCCCAGCCCCTGCACGGCCAGGCGCGCTGACCCCTCCGCACACGTGTGCCCAGCGCGTGGCCTGCGGATGTCCCGCGCGTGGGTGGCGGCCCCTTTGTGTGCCCCCAGACCCCCGACGCCATGATTTGCCCCTGGCGCCGACCCCCACAGGTCTCGACCCCGTTCCCCGCGGGGTCCGGTCCTCTCGGGCCGGGCGAAAGGGGGGCATTGGGAAAGGGGGGGTTACGAAATTTGCTGCATGCAGCTGGTTTCGGCCTCACCGAGGGGCCCATTCCTCGATACATGGCCGCCTCCGGCGCCGGGAGGCGCCGGGAAAATCAGCTACGTGAGCTGATTCTCAAACCCCCCCTTTGCTATCCCCCCCTTTCGCCCGACCCGATCCTCGCTGCCCCGAGTCGTTGTTGTTGCCATGGCGGCCCCGAGAGGCCCATTGCGAGGGCCCGCGGAGAGGCCGGCAGTGGCCAGGGGGGGCCTTGACGCGTCGTGCTGCCTCCTGCGTGGCTCGAGGGGGCCCCGGTCGGCGTCACCCCAGCACACTTCGACCATGCCCATCGGTCGTTGAAGGTAGGTATTTTTGGATTCCCAGATTCCAATCTACTTTCAGCGCCTTCCTGCTTCAAAGGTCGAGTGGTTTTCCCTCTTCCTTCCTCTTCAGGAGGCGTGCGGAAGCCCAATCTATTTCCAACGCCTTCCTACTTCATGCTTCTACCTACTTCTTCCGACCGATGGGTATGTGCGTCGCCCCCCCAGGGGCGGCGCGCGCACCGAGGAGTCGTACAGTCGGGGCCTTGAAGAAGGAACCCTTTTCGTTGGGGAGGGGCTCCGTGTTCCTTGATAGTTTCGCAGCTTGCCTTCTGTTTTCCTGAGGTTTTCGATGTGAAATCGAAGTTCAACTTGTGGAAAAAAGGGGCCTCGTTCCTTATTTAGGGTTCCGTTGGTCAACGCCCCGACTGTATCGTATCTGCGTCGTGGCGGGCGCTTTCTGGCCACGCCGCTCGGGAAGCGACCTGTTGCCGCACGAGGGGTCTGCTCGAATCCGAGGCCCGAAAACCATCACTTCACTAATTGTGGGCCCCAGGGCCCACTGAGGCCCCAGGGGCCCCAGATTAGTGAAGTGATGTTTTTTACCCACGTCAGGACCCCGAAATTCATCACTTCACTAAGCCGAGCCCAGGGCGAAAGTCAGAGGCCGAATTGCTGCTGTGATGCAACATCGGTCTCGTATCGAACTGTTCGGGTCGGACGTGCGCACCCGAGGGCGACGCACAGTGCTATGGTCCATGTCGTTGCGCGTCCCAGTCGGGGCCCCCGGCTCCTCGGCAGCGCTTTGGGCTGCCTCCAGGAGTCCAGGATGGGAACCACGCCCCTGCCCTCCCTGACTCCGGATCCGCCCTACTTTGGCTTTTTTCCAACTCAAAATTGCGTCGGAAATCCACCTACAAGAGGCCGAAAAAGTAGGGCGGAAATTGCTGCACCCAACATGAAATAGGGCGGAAATCCACAGAAACAGCCACAGAAAAGTAGGGCGGAAATTGGCATCAGCGGGGCTTGAAAAGTAAGGCGGAAGTTCCAAGCCCTACTTTCGAATTTCCCCAAAGTAGGGCGGATCCGGAGCCAGCCCTGGGTCAGAAGTGCTCGGTCCGTAAAGCTCCTGGGAGCTCCGAGAGGCCAGAACGCCGCCGGGACGCCGCGCGGCACGCGCGAGGCCCGCCGGCTCGCAAGAGATGGAGCGCACAGCGCCTCAAAAAACCAGGGCAGGGGCGTCTCTTGCGCCCTCCGAAGGCGGGCGGGGGGCTCGCCGGGCCGGGCGAGGCCCTGAAGGGCGGCGCGGCCGGAGACACGCCGTCGACGCGGACCTCGGGCGAGGGGTCCGCCTGCGGGTTCTCGAGCTCGGCCGAGGACACCATCTTCATCGCCGGGCAGTGCCACGGGGGCCGGCCGCTCTCGGATCGGCGGCGACGCCAGGGGGCGAATAGCTTTGGGGCGGGCATTGCACGTATATTCGCCCGGGAGCCTTTTCTCAGACATAGATCATCGGCGCACCTGAATGCATGTATTGCTCTTTCCCGGGCTACTATTCGCCCCTAGCGTCGCCTCTGATCGGGTTATCAAGAGATCAGGGTGTCAGCTCTGGAGGTCGCCGCACTGGCCTTGTGATGAAGTCGGGCCTGTCCCTCTACAGGAGGAATTTTCCAAAAGTAGTCAAAACATAGTCAGGGGACGATTTTGTTAACCATTTTTGACCCTTTTCTAATATTTCTGTATTTGTTCAATTTTCGCCCCAAATCCGCCTGTAGGGGGACACGCCCGACCTAATCATAGTGGCGGTCGGTTTTGCGGCGTTTTCGGGCTCTGGTTGTCGCCTCCCGGGCCCTGTGGTCGAACCGACTCCTGCTGAGAAGCAGGCCCCCAGGGGAAAGGCTCGAGATCTGGCCCAGAGGCCGACGTCACGCACGAAAGAAATTCCTACGTCGGAGGAGAGGGCACCATTTCTCCGACGATACGCTTTTTGCCCCGATCGGTGCTTGCACTGAAGGGGTTCTAGCGGAAGTTGCAAGATTTGGCGAAAGTTTCCCGCCGATTTTGGTAGCAGGCTGGGTTCCTGGGTTCCCGGTTCCGGGTTCCTGGGTGCCCGGTCATCGGTTCCGGGCCGATTTCGGTGGCTTCTGGGCTCCCGGGCTCCCAGGCTCCCGGTCGATCTCCTCAGCGAAAACCATCCACGGATTGGGGCTTCTCTCTGGTGCAGTTGTGAGGCAATCGGGGCGGTTTCCTTTGGTTTCGGCACCTGGGGCCAGTCATCGGGCCCCGTGGCCATGAAAAAGGGATCCGTGAGACAGCTCTTCGCGGAGGAAGGGGTTCGGGGCCACGCACTGAAGAGGTCGCCATCGTCGGGCGTGTGGGGCTGATCGGGGGCGGCCAAGAGGGGGGTGATGACTAGGGGGGGGGATGTCATGGCGTGGACCCTGATATTTCCTCAGATCTCATGGCGCCTCTTCGTGTTTCATTACGTCCTTGGCTCCGCCCCTGGGCCGCGAGCGTGCCGCCAGCCATGATTTGCGCCCCCCCTCTTGGACGCCCCCCTCTTGGCCGGCCCCCGAACTGAGGGTGTCGCCATGTTCTCCCCGAGGATCCAGTTTCGAGGATCGGAGGCCGAGGAAATCTTGGACGGTCTCGGGCGTTCTGGGAGCTCCCTGCGGGGCCCTCGGGGGTCCTGAGGGGGGCCGCCCTCGTCGACGAGGCGGCGACCCCCCCCCCCGAGCGGCACAGAGAGCCGGTGTCCGCACTCTTCGATACGGGGTCCCCAGAAGTCTCGGGCCGAACGAAGAGGGGGGGATCGGGAAAGGAGCCCATTACTGCATGCACGCATGCAGCTGGTTTCGGCCCCGCCGCCGGGCCCACTACTCGAGACATGGGCGCCTCCTGGCGCCGGGAGGCGCTGGGAAAAGCAGCTACGTGAGCTGATTCTTTACCCTACCCTTTTCGTTCCCCCCGAAAGTCCCGGCCCTCTCCATGGAGCGGGGCGCCCCGAAGTCCCGACCATCTCTGCGAGGCAGGCTGGTCCTCCCGAGGCGTTCTCTGACGGTCCTGGCGCCCAGCGGAGGCCCCCAGAGGCCGAGTTTTCGTCCTGGCTTCTTGCGTACATACATATGGTTAATTTCGAATTCTTCGAATTGTCTTTGAATTTTCGGGGGGCCAAGACCCTTTCATTTCTAAGTGTTCTGTCCTGGGCCTCTTGCTGGCCACCAGGGGGCCAGGAACAATTATAGAAACGAGCACGATTAGAAATGAGCACGATTGGGAATGAACGACGTGTACATATTTTGGAGCTCCTGGGGCAGCCCCCCTTGGCACTGCCTGGCCATCTTCGACTGGGACGACACCGTGCTGCCTTCCACGTGGGTGCAGGTGCGGGGCCGGCCCAAAAGTAACTCTACCCCACCACCACCTCCCTCACCCTTTCGCTCTCCCGGGAAAGAGAAGAGGGAGAGGAGGGTGGAATGATGTCGTGCGGTTCCAAAAGGAACCCCTCGGAAAGGGGCTTTTGAGACGGGTGACACCGATTTCTCGAGTCCAGTCGGCTTTGTCCACGCATGACGCCTTCACCTGCACTTCGATGTTTTAGAAGGACTGCCTCGGTCTCAGAAGTCGCTTTCGCCAGTGTCCCTGTAGGCAACGCGTCAAAATGGTTCGGTGCTCGTTTCGGGGACCGTCCTGGGGCCCCCCTAACGGGTCTGTTCGACTCAGGTTCGACTCAGGTTCGACTCGGGTTCGACTCAGGTTCGCCTCGGGTTCGACTCTGGTTCGACTCGGGGTCGACTCGGGCTCGACTCAGGCTCGACTCGGGTCCGACTCAGGCTCGACACAGGTTGGACTAGGTTCTGCTCGACGCAGCTTCGATGCACGAGTGGAGCGAGTGGCTCCAGGGAGGTCCCCAGAATGAGGAGCTGAGAGTGGTGGTGGTGGTGGCAGCTTCGATGCATGAGTGGAGCGAGTGGCTCCAGGGAGGCCCCCAGAATGAGTATTTGAGAGTGGTGGTGGTGGTGGTGGTGGTGGTGGTGGTGGTGGTGGTGGTGGTGGTGGTGGTGGTGGTGCATGTTCCTGGGACCTGCAGCAGGGGCAGGGCCTGCGGCTGGACGGCAGCTCCCGCCTCACGGCGGCGCAGCGGGAGGAGCTCGCGGAGGTCGCGAGGGCGGCCGCCGAGACGCTCGCCGCCGCGAAGCAGCACGGCGAGGCGCGGACAAGGGCAGCCTCGGAGGAGGGGCAGAGACCGATGCCTCGAGCGCAGTGCGGGCGCGGCCGCAAGAACGCCTCGCAAGAAGCCCAACCCTGAAGACCCGCCCCAGGAGGAGGAGGAGGAGGAGGAGGAGGAGGAGGAGGAGGAGGAGGCCCAAACAGGCCCAGGGCGAGGCCTCCCTCCCTTGGGGGGGAAGCCCCGAGCACCCTGAGCGCAGCAGCTTCTTCCACGGCTGCGGGAAGTCACCGCGCAGCGCGCGGAGCGAAGAAACCCAGGATGCCCTGACGAAATGCATATGGTTTCTTGATGCGTGCCCCCACTGCAGGAGATCCATGACATAATTGATTTGCAGCGAACTAGACCGTATCTCGGATAAGTTACAAGCACGTGTTGTTTTCGCAGAGATGCTAACATGGTACGTGTTCTTGAACTTCCGACGAACAAGCTGGGATACCCCAGTTATGCAGCCGATCTCCTATTCAAATGCTGCTGCTCGTGCCGAAAAGCCCTTGTCGCCACGGCTGGAGTCTTCCCTGCATCCCTTTCAGAACGCACCCCATGAGAGGTCCGGGGAGCAGCGGTATGGGTATCTGTCGCCGCGCCGTTTCTTCCGACGTGTGGCCTTCCGTCTTGGGGCGGGTGCCTCGGCCAGCTGGGCAAACGCCGCCTCGGGCGTTGTGGCTTGCCGTTGGTTTGCCGCGGTGCCAGCGTTGTCCACTTGGGCGCGGGGCGCAGGGCTTGCCGTTGGCTTGCCGTGGTGTAGGCGGCGTCCACTTGGGCGCGTCGAGAACAAGCGGCGCGGCGACATCTGTCCGTCCTCACAGGATCGACCAAACAGCAACCTTTGCGTAAGCATGCGCTCTCTGAGGTCCCTACGGAGTTCTGAAGTCGGCGACGCACTCCCCTGGCGGCACGGCGCCCGCCACCCCCCGGCGCGCTGCGCGCGCCAGAGAGGGTGGTCAAACGTCGACTCTAGGAATCCGCCTGGACCTCCGAGAGGCTATGCTATGCTCGTGCAGCTGTGTTCCTCCCTCTGGAGGTGGTGCTGGTTACAAATGCGCAGCGTGGCTGGATCGAGCTCAGCTGCGCGAAGTTCCTGCCGACGCTGCTGCCCATCTTGGAGAACGTCAAGCTCCTGTCGGCGAGGACAGCGTACGAGTCCCCCGAGGTGTCGTCGCCGCTGGAGTGGAAGTTGCGCGCCTTCGAGGCGGAGATAATGCGCATCTACGGGGAGGACCGACGAAGACAGATCTGTCTAAACAGAAACTTTCGAAGGTCCGCGCGGATTTCCTGGGTCGGCGCTGGACACCCCCCCCTGGCGAGCGGAGCGCGCCAGGGACGGCTCTGGGGGCGAGGCGCTGCCAGGGGAGTCCATCGCCGATCCCAGAAATCTTCGCGGAGCTTCGAAATACGTATGTTTATGTACGTATCCTGCCTCTGGAGGAGGGCTGCGGCAGGGCGTGGAACATTCTGTCGCTGGGCGACAGCCTCCACGAGCGGGAGGCGCTGCTGCGCGCCACGAAGCCGCTGCCAAACTGCCGGTCGAAGTCGCTGAAGTTCGTGGAGCGGCCCGACGTCGGCCAGATCTGCAAGCAGCACGCCCTGGTGACCAGCTGCTTCCAGCAGATCCTCCACCACGACGGCAACCTGGACCTGTGCATCCGCTGCGAGTGAGCGAGCGGAGCGGGGGGCGGGGACTTGCCGAAGGATAAATCAGAGGCATCGACGCAGCTGCTCTCTCGGAGCTCCGCGCGGGTTTCCTGGACCGGCGCTGGCCCCCCCCCCCCCCCTCTCCGGCGCGCGCAGCGCACCAGGGGCGGCAACCCCCCGGGGTGGCCAAGCGCCGCTCCGAGCACTCCGCGCGGGCCTCCGCAAGCGTATACGTTGCTGTCTGTTTCTCCTTCTATATCTGTTGCGCGAGTCAACCTTAGATGGAGGCCTGGCGGCGGCGTCTTGGCCCCGGCTGCGCGCTCCAGCCCCCCGCCCCACGCGTGTGCTGCCGGGGAGGAGCGACGTCGCGCGCGGTCCCGCGCCCGCCCGTCGCCTTCCCGGCGCGACCCTGGTCTGTAAATGCTGGCCGACCGGCCTGTTAATCTTCGCTCCTCGCGCGCGCCGCGCACCTCTTCCCGCGCCGGCGTGGTGAGGCTTCCCAGGCACGCTCGCGGCGTCACAAGAATCGGGGCGGCAGTCGTTCGCTAGGTTCGGCCCCTGGGGGCCCTCGCCGGGCCCTCGGGCCGTCAAGAGACGAAGGATGGAAAGCCGGCCCCGGGGAAGGGGTCGGGGGGGCTTCTGGGGGCGCCGCCCTGAACAAAAGTCAGGCCGCCGCATGTCTGGGTCCGGGCCTCGCACAGACGGCCCCCCCCCAGGCAGTCCCGGCTGGCCTCGACAGCCCCCCCCCCCGAGGATCCCAGAGCGGTCTCAGGACCCCATCACCCGGGTCGCGCGCCGCGCCCCGGGGGCACCGCCGGAGGCGGCGCGCCAGGGTGTCGGGATCGCCCCGCGGGCTGCTCGGGGGGGGGCCTGTGGAGGACAGGGAGGGCTGCCTGCCGAGGGCTGTCTGTGCGCCACCCGCCTGACCACTCCGGGGCTGCTCCAGCCTTCCAGTGGGTGAGGGGCGGGGGAGGACGGGGGGAGCGGGGGAGGCACGGGCCTTCCTGGGGGAGGAGGGGAGAGAGGGGGAGGAGGAGGGGAGGAGGGGGGGAGGGGAGGGAGGGGGGGGGGGCGGGGGAGGAGGGGAGAGAGGGAGGGGGGGGGAGGCACGGGCCGCCGCCGCTCTATGGGACCTGCGGCCCGGCGGCGCACGCGCGCGACGCAATTCGCGGGGGCTAGTCTCCGCGGCCCGCCGGCGCACGAGCCGAGGGCCCTTTGCACGCTGCCACGACCGCCACCGCCCGCTTGCGTCTCGAGCCGTCATCGTCCTTCTCCTGCCCGGCCGTGGACCGATGACATCTGCGTAGGCACGGCCTCGCGGGCCCGGCCCCTGGGCCGCTGCCGCTGCCCCTTCGGTGCGGGTCGATAACGGATGCCCCGCGCGGGGCGTATCCATGCGATCGCGCATCCACGGCATCGCGCCCTGGAATCCAGGCCGTGGGGGCGCAGCTGCCACGACCGCCACCGCTCGCTCCATCCTTGGGTCATCCTCGTCCTTCTCCTCCTCGTCCTCTTCTCCTCCAGCCTTTCAGGGGCAACGTTATGGGGGATAAGGCTCATGTGATGGGGCCAGGAGGAGGTCAGTGGTCAGGCTCGCGGTCTTCGGGCGTTTCCGTCGCTTCTCGGCGGCGTTCCGGCCTCGGGGTGCTCACCAGCAGCTGCGCCTCGCCGAGAGCTTTCTGGAGCCTGCCTGGGCAGTTCCGCACGGCCGCCCTGGAGCCGATAAGGGGGGGCAACGTCAGGGGGGCATCGGTCGAGGATGGGGCTGCGTCGGCCCTCCTCCTCCTCCTCCTCCTCCTCCTCCTCCTCCTCCTCCCCCTCCTCCTCCTCCTCCTCCTCCTCCTCCCCTCCTTCCTCCTCCTCCTCCTCTCCTCTCCTCTCCTCCCCCTCCTCCCCTCCCTCTCCTCTCCTCCTCCTCCTCCTCCTCCTCCTCCTCCCCGCCCAGGTCGGGCCGAACCAGAGGTGGGGGGGACGGGGAGATAATGGGGCTGCGGACTCTGCTGCATGCCGTTGGCTATTCGGCCCCGCTGCCGGGCCCGCTCCCCGATATATCTGGGCGCCTCCCGGCGCCGGGAGGCGCTGGGGAAATCTGCTGCGTGAGCTGAGTCTCTACCCAGGAGGGGGAGTTGGAGGAGGAGGAGGAGGAGGAGGAGGAGGAGGAGGAGGAGGAGGAGGGAGGAGGAGGAGGAGGAGGAGGGAGGAGGAGGAGGAGGAGGGAGGGGAGGAGGAGGAGGAGGAGGAGGAGGAGGAGGAGGAGGAGGAGGAGGGGCGTGCGGTTGCGCCATCAGGGCCCCGTCGCCGATCCGTCGGCGGTGTGTCGCCGATGCGAGGCCGCTGCGTCCCCCCCTTCCAGGAGCCGGCCGTCCCCCCCCTCGTCGGGCGGCGCGCAGACTGCGGCAAGCAGTGCCGAGCACGCCCGACCTCCTCCCCGCCCCCGCTCCGGAGCTCGGCGGCCAGGGGGGGGGGGGGACGGAGAAGGAGAAGGCGTTCTCGGCAGGCGGCGGGACTTCTCAGACGCCCTCGGGGCTTCTGACAGGATGTTCCAACCTACTTCGGCCTTGACCACCAACAAGAATTTTTCGAGCACCAGAAGAGTACCCAAAAACTCGAGGGTGTTCACGTGCCGGGCCCTGGGAGACACTCGGCCGACACTGTTCCGACACTCTTTCGACATTCTTTCGATACTTCTTCGGGTGCTCGAAATGATTTCTGGGACGTGGCCCTCCTTAAGTACGATGGGCGCAACATAAGCCTTCTGAAAGTTTTCCTTTGTCCTTGGATGCCGAGAGACACCCTGCTTGCCTCCAGGGTGCCCTGGGTTTCTTGAGTCTCGATGGCTTTGCAATGGAAAGCGTGACGCCCCCACGCAAAAAATCAGTGGACGTCCTGGGGTCTCAGGGTTGGGTTTCCTGTGGAAGGTTTCTTGTGGTCGGCCCCCTTTGGGGGAGGGAGGGAGGGAGGGAGGAGGCGGAGGAGGAGGAGGAGGAGGAGAAGGATGAGGAGGACGAGGAGGAGGAGGAGGAGGAGGAGGAGGAGGAGGAGGAGGAGGAGAGAGAGAGGAGGAGGAGGAGGAGGAGGAGGAGGAGGAGGAGGAGAAGGGAGGAGGAGGAGGATGATGAGGAGGAGAAGGGAGGAGGAGGAGGAGGAGGAGGAGGAGGAGGATGAGGAGGAGGAGGAGAAGGGGGAGCAGGAGGAGGGAGGAGGAGGAGGAGAAGGGAGGAGGAGGAGGGAGGAGGAGGAGGAGGAGGAGGAGGAGGAGAGGAGCTACTGTACTTCACCCCAGGCTCGCCACCGCTCCTCCCCGTCGTCCACGGGTCTTTTCCCGACCTCCGCGTCGGATCGGTGGCCTCGGCGTCGAGCAGCGAGCGAGCGCTCTCCTCCCACAGCGAGCCGACTGCGGCAGGAGGGGAAAAACACACACAGACACAATGAATCGTCGATCCCCAGGAAAATATTTGAA